AAAATTATCATCATCTCTAGTCGAAGGATACCGAAAGGAGAGGAGGTGACTGTTTTTTTGCAACCTTTTTTATACTAGGTAGAGACTGAATTTGATCTGGCATTTACATGTCCTTTTTTTTCCTCCCCCCTTTTCAGCTTACATATGATTACCAGTTTGACTTTGAAGATGATCAGCACAAGATCCCATGTCACTGTGGAGCATGGAACTGTCGGAAATGGATGAATTGAGAACGGTGAACTGCCTCCGGTTATTGTGAATATGTGCCCTTCAATGTAAAGCCTTGGAGAGAGTAATTAAACACCAACTTGCGTGTCTACCATTGCTTTGCTACACTAGCTTTTGAAGCCTTCCTCAAGATGCAAAAAAAGTTCCCAAACCTTCTCCGTCTTTCTGATACAAGGAACGTGAAGCAATGCTGAGATCTGGAATCCTGTCTAAAGGCCTTTACCATTGTGGATGGAATAAACGATAAAATAAAGCTATTGTGCAGAGAACATTCCCTAAGCATCGAATAGCTGGGCATATGTTTTGTGTAGCACCCTTTTTTTTTTTCTTCCTTCACATAAAAATTGCTCTTGAGAGGAAGGATTTTTTTTCTCCTTTCTGTTTTATCTGAATCGAAAAATATTGCTCTAACTCTTAAATACATGAGAATGCAAAAAAAAATTAAAAAAAAAAAAAGTCATTAGTTAACAAAGCAGTTTGACAATCCTAAATCTACAGGACCCTCAGAGCGCGAAAGAGAGCACATAAGACTGCAGAAAAAGAGCACAGGAGTTGCTTTCATTGAGCGCAAGAGACAGTCCATTGACTGTTACCTGTCACAGCTACTCAATCCCAGAGGCACCTGGCCAGCACCTACCTCATCTGCCTGTTGGATACTGATGTGTATATGTGACACTCCCACAGCAATCTATAATAGATAGCACCTCATAAACATGGACACAGCGTGTATGATGGGACTTGTGTAATAATGGAAATACATGCTACCCATCCTAGAGGGTCTGGTTTGGTATCTTTTGCCCCTCTCTGAAGCTTTGTAACCTGCCCTCTTGGCCTATAAATTTGGCTCTGAGCAGGTCGGAGTGCACTAATGATCGTGTTTTCTGCTAACTGCCCGCTTGTGGTCTGTCCTTGGCAACCCATTCTCTCCCCTTTTTTCTGTGCCTGAAACCTCACCCTTCTCTATACCTGGAACATGAAGTGTAGTAAGAAGACCTGCTTTGTAATGGGGGTAGAGTAAATCTTTTATAACGGCAGGTGGTGTATGTATGTGTGTGACTGTAGATATCCCTTGGTTTTATTTTATTTTGAGATCTGTGCTCTTAATCATTCTCCCCGCTACAGTATTTCTGTAAAGACTCTCCATAAAATGTAAGACCTTCATTTAGCCAATAACTTACTGAAATGGGCTTTCTTTTTAAACCCAGTTTTAGATATGTACTCCTTTATCCAAAACCTACTTTATACATTGTCTTCACTCGCATTACTCTGAAGCTGCTGTTCTGCTCTCATTATGTAATTCAAAGTCCTGATTTATCTATTTTTTATTTTCTAGCACAGTGCTTGGGTTGGGAATAGGTGAAGGGAGTTATTTATTTGTACTTGTAATTATATTTATGTATTACCACCTTGTGTGAGGGAAGTACAGGGTGTCTTTAGATCTTGGCAAAATACTACATGCATTTTTTTTTTTTTTTTTAATCATTTCATAATCCTAGAGAGTACAGATTGAGCACTAGTAAGCTATATCCCTGATCTTTTGGCTTCCATTTTTCTAAATGTACATTGCTTCGAAATGCAGAACTGCATTTACGTATCAAAGCAGAGAATATTTGTTTTATCCATTTTACAAGTTACTGTGGCTGTACCTTCCCCCAAAACAGACACAGTGATTATGTTTAGAGTGCACGGATTCAAATAAATCAGTGGCGTCCAGCAGCCAAGGGCATTTAAAATCAAAGCTAGTGTGAATATATGAGATTAAGTGCTGTTGCTTTTTAACACAAGCTGCTTCCACAACTGTTTTAAAAGCTGCAAACATGTACAAAATAAAAATAAAGGTAAGTTGTAAATAAACAAAAGAAAAAGTCTAAAAAAACATAATAAAAAAAAAAAAAATAATGTTGTGCATAGTCTGGCACCATATTATTAAAAAACCACTGGACACTATGAAAGCCTGAAAATTTGAAATGTAATGTTCCCTTTTTCATTTTTTTTTCCTGCTTTTTACTGAATTATTTTGTGTTTTCAAGCTCTTCAGTGGGAGCTTACAGTACATCCCTGTCACTTGTGATATTAGATTATTATAGATATGACATGACATACAGTAATGTAGATTTTAGGTAAACCCTATACTGTTTTTATTTTTTTTTATACAAAATATAATCCAGACCCAAGCTTGAAATACTTGATTTTTCTTTTTCTGCTTGTATAAACACTTTAATTTGCTGTGTTTTGAATTTTATTTGGTCTCTGCTTGCAAAGATGTCTTTTTTTTTTTTCCATAATATTCCTTTTGTTTTCCCATTTTCCTCTTTTTTTTTTTTTTTTTAA